GTGGGAGGATAATAAGGATGAAGAGTAGTAATAAGGAGGATAGGGGTAGACAATGAAGTAGACTGTGCAGTAGGAGATGGAGTGGAGGGTGTTGAGAGAGAGAAAGGGGTGTATTCTGAAGGTTGAGTAATGTCCTGGGTGGATGATTTGGAGTGGGTAGAGTTGACAGCAATATCAAGGATGAGGTATTAGTATCAGTGGTCGGAGCCATGGTCAGAGGAGAGGCAGGGGTCAGGAAACCAATGAAATCAATTTTAGATAGGCTAGTTGATGAAGGGGGAACCTTCAATGCCCCTGATATGGGTAAAAAAAATCTTCATTATTGGCCATAGTGAGCCTAAAATAGATGGGGAGAAGAAACGGTCTGCCCCTCAGGGACCCTATGAGGGGTAGGGGCTAGGTAATTAACCAAAGGAATACTGTCCCCGTGGCTCCAAAGGCCATTCATGACTGACACAAAGCCAGCCTTTCATCCTTTCAGCATGGCTCTCACACCCTTAGGAAGTGGACAGAAGAAGGAGATGAAGAAGAAAAGGAAAGGGAGAAGAAAAGACCATACAAAATTAGTTGAGGTGAAGGCTGTGGTTCAACGTAGGGGTAATGCCCTACACTGGGCCACAGTCCTAAGCCTTCCATGACAAGCAAGGAATTAGGGCGGAGAAGTAGATCTAGAGCATGAGATAAGGGAACATGGGAAGGTGATGAAGTATCAGGAAGAATGTCAGGAGGGGAGGGATCTCGAGGACATTGTTTTGACATAAGGGAGTCATATGAGCATTAATTAATGAGTATTAAGGATAATGTGGAGGGAAAAAGGAATGTTGATGCACATGGAGGAGAGGAAATGGTGCTTTATGTGAGAGTGGGAGGAAAAGGGGTAGGGGAAACTAGAGGAGGATGAATATCTTTGAATGTAGAGCAAATAGGGATAGAGGGATTGGTGGGTGGATGAGGGAACAAAACGGTCTCAGTCTTTTAAGAGTTTCTGGAGGGGAGTTGGGTGGGGAGCTCTGAAAACAAAGGTTTTCTTATGAGAACGAGAAGAGGGAATAGATGTCTGAGGAGCAGAGGGAGAGCTGAGTGTAGATGGAGTGGAACATTTAGATTGCCTGGTGCAACAGGTAGAGTGAGAAGGTGGTAGCCATCAGGGAAGTGGTAGAGATTGGAGTATTTGGATTTAGACTGGAAAAGGAAAATAGGATAGTTCAGGGTAGAGAGAAGAGATATTGGGGGATATGAGATATCTTGAGAAGACAGGAGGGGAGGAGAGCAAATCTGAGAACTGCCATCTCAGATTTGAGCTTGTAGACAAGGCAGCTCCTATAAAATGCATCATGGGAACCATCAAAATTAGCACACATGCGCATGACTGAGCAGGACAATTTGAATGATTATGACCAGGTTGAGCACATAGGGGGCTGTGGAGCAACAGTGTTTGGCTGGGTGGCTTAAACGCCATTTTTGACATTGACGGGGAAGAGATTGATATGGTCGGGCAGGGCAGGACACTCCACCAATGTAAACTTCATGGGAGAGGTCATATCCACAGAAGCTAATCTTGACAAAACTGGTGTAGGACTTATGTTGGCCTCTGGGAAGAATAGTGCAGCACTGGACTGCCACTGCATCATAGTTGATGAGGCAAGTCATCTTCACTGTCTGGGGTGGTATGGAGTGAGGTAGTACTGTGGGAGGATAATAAGGATGAAGAGTAGTAATAAGGAGGATAGGGGTAGACAATGAAGTAGACTGTGCAGTAGGAGATGGAGTGGAGGGTGTTGAGAGAGAGAAAGGGGTGTATTCTGAAGGTTGAGTAATGTCCTGGGTGGATGATTTGGAATGGGTAGAGTTGACAGCAATATCAAGGATGAGGTATTAGTATCAGTGGTCAGAGCCATGGTCAGAGGAGAGGCAGGGGTCAGGAAACCAATGAAATCAATTTTAGATAGGCTAGTTGATGAAGAGGGAACCTTTAATGCCCCTGATATGGGTAAAAAAAATCTTCATTATTGGCCATAGTGAGCCTAAAATAGATGGGGAGAAGAAACGGTCTGCCCCTCAGGGACCCTATGAGGGGTAGGGGCTAGGTAATTAACCAAAGGAATACTGTCCCCTTGGCTCCAAAGGCCATTCATGACTGACACAAAGCCAGCCTTTCATCCTTTCAGCATGGCTCTCACACCTTTAGGAAGTGGACAGAAGAAGGAGATGAAGAAGAAAAGGAAAGGGAGAAGAAAAGACCATACAAAATTAGTTGAGGTGAAGGCTGTGGTTCAAGGTAGGGGTAATGCCCTACACTGGGCCACAGTCCTAAGCCTTCCATGACAAGCAAGGAATTAGGGGGGAGAAGTAGATCTAGAGCATGAGATAAGGGAACATGGGAAGGTGATGAAGTATCAGCAAGAATGTCAAGAGGGGAGGGATCTGGAGGACATTGTTTTGACATAAGGGAGTCATATGAGCATCCAGGTGGAAGTGTTACGGATAATGTGGAGGGAAGAAGGAATGTTGATGCACATGGAGGAGAGGAAATGGTGCTTTATGTGAGAGTGGGAGGAAAAGGGGGTTGGGGAAACTAGAGGAGGATGAATATCTTTGAATGTAGAGCAAATAGGGATAGAGGGATTGGTGGGTGGATGAGGGAACAAAACGGTCTCAGTCTTTAAGAGTTTCTGGAGGGGAGTTGGGTGGGGAGCTCTGAAAACAAAGGTTTTCTTATGAGAACGAGAAGAGGGAATATATGTCTGAGGAGCAGAGGAAGAGCTGAGTGTAGATGGAGTGGAACATTTAGATTGCCTGGTCCAACAGGTAGAGTGAGAAGGTGGTAGCCATCAGGGAAGTGGTAGAGATTGGAGTATTTGGATTTAGACTGGAAAAGGAAAATAGGATAGTTCAGGGTAGAGAGAAGAGATATTGGGGGATATGAGATATCTTGAGAAGACAGGAGGGGAGGAGAGCAAATCTGAGAACTGCCACCTCAGATTTGAGCTTGTAGACAAGGCAGCTCCTATAAAATACATCATGGGAACCATCAAAATTAGCACACATGCGCATGACTGAGCAGGACAATTTGAATGATTATGACCAGGTTGAGCACATAGGGGGCTGTGGAGCAACAGTGTTTGGCTGGGTGGCCCAAACACCAACATATCTGACATTGACAGGGAAGGAGTTGATATATTTGGACAGGGCAGGACACTACACCAATGCAAAATACATGGGGGAGGTCAGAAGCTAATCTTGGCAATATTGGTGTAAGACTTATGCTGGCCTCTGGGAGGAATAGTGTAGCACTGGACTGACACTGCATCATAGACAGCACCTGCCGGGCCACACCTATAGCCATCATAACAAACCGACTCGACAGGCAACATGCTAAAGTGAGTCAAGCAGAATGTTCCGCTACATGTAGCATACTCCTACACCAAACTACAAGACAGTTGCCGAAACTCACCAGAATCAGTGACACCAAGATATTTCTGATACTGTTATTGAAGAGATAGTCGATGAGGCATGCAAGCAGGTCGTTTTCATAGTCTGACCAGTCTTTGTCAGAGACAAGACAATCCCTTCGGGATATGGGACCAGTTCTGGTACAAGTATTAAAATAGGGGAGAGAGGTTGGACAGAAATAAGTTTGCCAGTGGGGTCAGTTAGTGTAGATAATGTATGAGCTTGGATTGATTATTTAAAATTATCTGTCACATCAGCAGCTAAGGTCATTAGCAGTAAACACCTTGTCAGATTTAAAATGTTAAAATCTATCAATAAATGTCTTATAAATAACAATAAATATAGTATAAAAAAAATCAAAGCATAAACATTATGCTCAAAATGTATAAAATTAATGCATAAACATTATGCATAATTAAATTTTATTGAAAATATTAGTCTCCCTAAGGAAACTAATAAGACCTGTCACAATCCCCCCACCCCAATATATTTTTCGGTGTATGTGGGGGAGACAAGTACCTACGTCTTTGTTCTGAGAAAGCTGCACATCTTACCACTACATGCGCCACCGTTAATGGCTCTTGGCATTCCTCACAGCATGCTTCACTTTTAGCCTTCATCTGCCCATGAGGCAATCTTGTGTGCCCGATTCTTAGTCTTCTTAATACAACTTCTTGCATGAGCTTGGAACTCAGATGTAACTGTGGCAAGGTATGAACAATGAAAGGAAAATTTGCCTACATGTTTTTGGAGACATTGCTGGAAGACAAGGGTATTGTCTGAGTAAGGGGCTGCAGGGATATCACAAAGGATCGATCCCACTTGGCTAGGCCAAAAAGGGTACTCAAAAGGTTTGCAGAGGTGGAAGCAGTGGAAGGGTTGCCATAAGGGGTAAGGGCTAGGTGATTAACCAAGGAATACTATGCCCATGGCTCCCAGAGGCCTTGCTGGACTGACACAGAGCCAGCCTTTCATCCTTTCAGCATGGCTCTCACACCTTAGGAAGTGGACAAAAGAAGAGGATAAAGAAAAGAAGAGAGAGGAATGGGAGAGAAAAAAAAAAGATCAAGCAAAATTTGTTGAGGTCTAAGGTAAGGGTGATCCCCTACCTTGGGTCTCAGTCTCCGTCTCTTAAGCCCCCCTGTGACAACAAGAAGCAAGGGATTAGTGAGGAGAGTTCAACTGAAAGCAAAATGATCTTTCAAGAGCAAAAATAAGATCTCTAGACAAGAAATACAGAGAATATCTACCATATTTTAACCATATATTTCCAATGTAACACTTGTATTACAATTGAGCATATCTATTGCAATTTTAAGACTGCTATTCATAGGAGGTAATTGTAAAGGGCAATGCATACCCATATCCTCAATTAACTTAAATAAACATCACACCTTCTGTATGTCCATCCTTTAGAGTTTTGAATGGATAACTTGGAAGGCTATATTACCTTCATCGTTAAATTTGTCATCGTTTGTCTTTTTATTTCTTGAGACTTGTTCTGTGTTTGCCATCTTCCTTGAAGTCATAAAGAAATAAATAACAGCTTTATAATAAAATCTTCAAAATTTATTGATCTATGTGATAACAACTTAATTTGAAAAAAATGTACAAACAATCACATCATTCATATTTTCTTTATGTATTAACATTTAAAGCATATATATTCTTCAGTGTTTCAACTTAACCTAGTCCTTTCAAAAAATTACAACCATAACTTTGACCTTTGAACCAGATTTTATTGGTAGCTTGGCCAAGAAAGCCACTGCTATATTCTATTTGCTAATTCACTCATGCATTATAAAACCTACACTTAATGCTAATATAATATAATTTTCTAGTATGTAATAGTCATCAGACTAACCTTGGAAATCAAAATATAAAACTACTGATGCTTTCCTTTTTAAGTAGTTACAAATTACAAATAAAACAGGTGGTATAAACAAACAAAATTTGTAAATAGTAAGTACAATTTCTTTTGGCTAGCACGTGTTACAAGTATTTTGAGGCCTTTTTTTTCTTCCTTATTTAATTTGCAGTATCTAGACACAGCGATACCTCATATAATAGAAAAAAGGTGATAAAAAGACAGGTACATTTTTATAACTAAATTTCAAGTTTATATGTAGTTGTAAATCATGATTGGTTACTTAAGAGTGCTGCCTAAATATGAGGCACCTTGGAAATTCTTTACTTGCTAAAATAAGCTATCATCTAAATATGGAAAATCAGCACTGCCACTCTCAAACTTCTGCACACCTGGTCCTACAACATAGTTATTACACTGAGGCTGCAAGTGTATTATCTAATGCACAATTTGAAATTTTAAAAAAGAAGTTCCCTTTATTTATATATACCAATTTATTATATTTCATGATGAAAACATTTAACTGGGTAATACTGCTGCTTAACCCCATCCCGACGGGTCATGTGTACAGGCGTCATGACATACTGCTTGGTCTGTGGGGTACGGCTGTACGTGCAGCAACAAGCCAGAGCACGTGGAGCGGGAGGTTCAACTACATGTAGCAGATTCCCATACCCAGTGTCAGGATGTTACCAGAAATCACCAGAGTTTATGATGCTCCTAGATTTCTGATACCCGTCAGTATTGGGTTAAAGGATAGTTACAAGTTAAATATTTGTGACAAATGACATTATCATTTTACAAAACAAACAAACTCATCTGTTTTTCCAAAAGCCTACCCCTGAGACTTTATGGAGTCTTATTGGTGATTATGGATTCCTTTCTTTACACCACTAAAAAGAAGTTTAAATTACTGGGATTCACTGAAGGCTTAAACAGAAAAATTTTCTAAGAAACTAACAACAAACACTGTAATTCATAGGATTAGCCTGACTAATTACCATACTTTTTTAGCTTCAGTGAAGACTTAGCAAAAATAATAAATTTCTCTCATTCATCTGGAGCTCAAGCATTACTCTCTCCTGAGGTTGTCCAGTCTGGCCTGTATGTCATCGTCAGCTGCGTCTGCTACTGCAACAGACTGCTTGTTGGCAGGAGTTGGATTGCCAATGGTTCCGGCTGCTGATGGGAGGTCACTCAGACCTTCTGTCATCTGAAGTCCTAGTTCATCCAGGACTTGGGATACAACAGCATCTCTGCAGGGGGATAAAAATATTAACAAAAATTGCTTTGCATTTGACAAATAATTTGCCAACAGACATCAAATGAACTTTTTTCCATTCATCCCATCCATGTCCTGAGAAATGGCATTCCCAATGGTATAGAAACCACCTAAAAATCCATTCAACAGAGATTACAACACTTAGATTGTTTATTAAAAATAATTACATCTCATACTCTACTGCAGCAGCATTCTTCTATGTGATGGCACCCTAGACACACACAGTCCTTTCTGTAGCACTCTTTCCTTCACCCCAAACCTCATAAGATTTTGCCTTCACAGCAAAGTATTGCTTTGCCTGTTCCATGAATTACTGGAGATCAAAGCAAAATCAAAACAGGTTCCTTGCTTAAATGGCAAACCTGTAATTACCAGATAAATGAGATGGCCTCAAAATTTACCTTGCTGCAAAGTTTTGTGACACTTCTGTATGCTGCTCATAGCACTCCTAGGGTTTCATGAGACCCAGTTTCAGAACCTTTGTTCTAATTTTACTTTATATTATAAAAGAGTATCTACTCTCTGCAAATTGTAAACATTTCACATTTAAATATTTAAATTCTTAAACATAATTATTCAATCGTTACCATCTAATTTGTTAATCAGATCAAATATGATGATTGCTAAAACTCTGTAATAACAGAAATGAAAGCATACATCTCTTTTGGAGAAATTTGAGCAGCAGGAAACTGTGGAATAATATAAAATGTTTCTACCATGAGAAGAATTTAAAAAGGAGTTGCCTTGTGCAAATATGTATGCCATTTCAGCAGCTTAGCATTACCTCTGCACTGCCCAATGAAGATGAGGGTTATAATCAAGTTTTGTCCATTAAAGACGGATGGCTGGATTCCAATTCACTGACGTCAAGATTTCCAGTTACTCTCTGTGACACATGTAACTATAGTTTCAGAGTAGAGCTATATAGAATTATGAATATATTTTATATTTATAAATCATATTTCTTTCTGTAACTGCTCCAAGAGAAAAATATACATATATAGAGTAAGAAAAATAAAATTTGTACTTTCAAAGGGGACAGCTTGAAAAGAGAATGTGTACATAGCACCTTATCAATAATGCTGTCTGAAAACATTGGCATACATATTTCCTGTTATAACCTTATGCACACAGATGCAAACAGGAAAAAATAACATTGCACACGAAACACTCTCAAAAGCACAAACTTACGTTTCCTCTTCATCGTCTTCATCACCCATGGCATCATCTATGACGTCATTCATCATCTCCTCCTTCATGTCCATAATCTCTGTCTGTTTTTCAAATTCTTGCATAATCTGCTGGATCTGTGGAAGCTTCAGTTGCCTGGAACAATGAAAAATATATCAGTTAATAAGCTCCTTGGACTGTAAAAAGAAAGAAAGGAGAAAATATGACAGAAAATACACAAGTTTCTACATCAAAACCTCACCATAAGAAAAAACAGATTAAATATAACTAAATTCATGAATATTCATCTAAGAATGTGAACATCAGCCCATATCATAAATTCTAATCTCTTAAGAATAAAGAAAAGAAAAGAAAAAAATATATATACACAGCATTCACAAATGCTAAAACCTAAATTCCACTGAATAACTCCTTTCTTCTCTCAACTGAAAAAAAAATTAGCAATGCCAAAACTAGTTTCCACAAACAAATAGCTCACTTGTTCATGCTCATCATGGCCTTGGTAACCCCCTTCATAGCTCCTGCCATGGCATTCTGACTCTTCAATGAAGTGATCTTGAGTGAAACTGCTTGGATCTGAGCTTTCATCATGATGAACTTCTTGGTGTAGCGACGTGTCCGCACCAAATCTTTTGCCATCACTTTAACTGCATCCTACAACAGACAAAGAAAATCTTTTATTTGCCTTTTTTATTTTTCAGTTGCTGTAGAAAATATCTTTCCTTTCAATACACGTATCTGATGAATAGATGAGATAAAACAAAGTATTTTCCACGATAAATTCTTAATCCCACTATTCCTATGTATTTCTGTGGGCTTAATAAGTATCTAATTTTCTTAGGCCGTTCATACTTTTCATTTACAAAACTGGAACTCAATCCTCATATCGATGAACAAAACCAAAGCAATAAAAAATAATTAATCAATAGTGAAAGAACTGACACAACATCAAATTATCTCACCATCTGACCCATCTTTGCATATTTCTTTATATCAGCAATGATCTTCTTTTCCTGCTGCTCCATCTTTGCTCTCTCTCGGTCCAAATCGCGCATGGCTTTGTTTAGTGCTCGCTGGTTCTTCCTGAGCATCTCCTCAGGAGTCATCTTACGGCCAAACAACCAATCCATCCTTGATGTGCTGCAAAGAATAAAAACTATTGATGACACAAGACAAACATGATATGAGGTATATTCTAATCATAAGAAAAGTAAAACATTCTTGCATGTTTCATGTTGATACCAACTGTTCTGTAAGTGTGTATATGAAATAAAGCATAACCTAACAATAGCATAAAACTTTGAAGGGAAGTCAAGAAATTAAAAAGAGATGCCTTCCAATCTATTAATCAAATGCATAGACTATGCCATGTCAAGAAGTAGTAGTAGTAGTAGTAGTAGTAGTAGTAGTAGTAGTAGTAGTAGTAGTAGTAGTAGTAGTAGTAGTAGTAGTAGTAGTAGTAGTAGTAGTAGTAGTAGGAAAAGAGAGAAAGAGAGAAAGAGAGAGAAAGAGAGAGAAAGAGAGAGAGAGAGAGAGAGAGAGAGAGAGAGAGAGAGAGAGAGAGAGAGAGAGAGAGAGAGAGAGAGAGAGAGAGATCCAATATCTAAATCTCTCTCTCTCTCTCTCTCTCTCTCTCTCTCTCTCTCTCTCTCTCTCTCTCTCTCTCTCTCTCTCTCTCTCTCTCTCTCTCTTAAACACACACACACACACACACAATAGGCACCTTGCAAGCGGTACAAAAGTAAGCATTAAGTAATCGGCGAGAAAAGTAACTTTCAACACCATTATTATAGTCAGCTGCAGTGTATAAGCAACACCGGATTACGTAATCTAACAAGTTATCATATTCCTACATCAGCTTTCTTTCCTGTCGTCATGTTACGTTTACCACTTGCTACATTTCACACGTTCTCTCGTGAGAGAGAGAGAGAGAAAGAGAGAGAAAGAGAGAGAGAGAGAGAGAGAGAGAGAGAGAGAGAGAGAGAGAGAGAGAGAGAGAGAGAGAGAGAGAGAGAGAGAGAGAGAGAGAGAGAGAGAGAGAGACAGAGACACAGAGACACAGAGACACAGAGACACAGAGACACAGAGACACAGAGACACAGAGACACAGAGACACAGAGACACAGAGACACAGAGACAGAGGGACAGAGGGACAGAGGGACAGAGGGACAGAGGGACAGAGGGACAGAGGGACAGAGGGACAGAGGGACAGAAAGAAAGAAAGAAAGAAAGAAAGAAAGAAAGAAAGAAAGAAAGAAAGAAAGAAAGAAAGAAAGAAAGAAAGAAAGAAAGAAAGAAAGAGAGAAAGAGAGAAAGATAGAAAGGGAGAGGGATAGAGAGGGAGAGGGACAATAACAGGGATAGGGATAGGAAGAGGGAGAGAGGGAAAGAGAGGAAGGGAGTGGGAGAAAGAAGAAAGGTGAGGAAAAAAATGGGAGTGGGAGAGAGAGAGAAGGCAAAGGAAAAAAGTGGGAGTGGGAGAAAGAGGAAGAATGAGAGCAACATGAAAAAAGGAGATAAAAAGAGAAAGAGAGAGAGAGGGTAATTACTCATAAATAATTGTTAATCCTTTCTCTGGCATTACATATCCATCAACTCATTGGCTTGCTACAGTACATTTCCTCTTTATAATATCAAATAAAGCCATATTCAACAGTCTCATCAAATGTTCAGTGGGCCACAACTTCAGTATGTTTTTTATAAGTGGTGTCAGGTTTAGCAATCCTATGAGTTAGGCTTAGCAACCATAGGCTAACACTTCATATTCAAATGTCATTCACACATGAATCTGTCATAAAATTTCAATCACTTGCAACAAAATTTTCTTTTATTTTTTTGGGTACTTTTCACACACCCTGAAGTAATAACATTCAATAAGCATCTTTTGATGATCCATAAAAGAAACATTAATATGGATTGATGCACAAAGTTTGGTGGTTGAGATTTTAAAACAAAATGTAACATACATATGATCATGTATATCTCAGTTTGATCTTGCCAGCATGGCCTATGCATGTAGCATGGACTACTCTAAGTTACTTACTGGTGAGTCTTTCTTCCCCCTAATTCTGAGGTATCTATATCATTGTTTCTAGTCCATCAGAGTTTCTAAGCCAAGGCCATACTGTATAAGAAGACTATCAGTTTGATAATACAATATAAAAATCTAAATCAAGTCATACTTCAATAAAAAGCAATGGGCAGTCATATATTAAATCACAAGTAATAAAGCTACATTCAAATTACATCATAAATACAGATGTGGCAAATATGGTGCAATAAGATCTGATCTCAATACAATATACTGTGATCTTTCTCTGGGAAACTTTACCTCTCCATCCTGAAAGTTCTGTTGATGAGAAAAATGATTTTGAAATAAAGATGGTAAAACAAAGAAAGGGACAAGCAAACCCATAAAAAAATATCAATGTTCTGATTTACTTCAAACCATTCCAATAAGCAATGGTTAATGGTTAAAAGAAATAAATGTGCTTGACATCAAAGGTCATATAGCATTATGGTAAAGTATTGTGGCAAAAAGGCTGGAAATTAGTTAATGATTAGGACAAGATGTGTTAGATGCTCAAAGGTTGTAGAATTGCATAAATGTGCTTGACATCAAAGGTCATATAGCATTATGGTAAAGTATTGTGGCAAAAAGGCTGGAAATGAGTTAATGATTAGGACAAGATGTGTTAGATGTCAAAGGTTGTAGAATGCTAGGACATTAGTGAAAAGGGTATAGAGGTAGAGCAAATGGAATACAGTGGGGATTTGTAAAAGGATGTGGTTAAAGGTAAAGGGCAATCAGATCAAATGGAGATTATGTGTCTGAGGAAAGGAGAGTAACACTGTATGGGAAAACTGGAAAAGAAAAAAAAAAAAAAATATCAATGTTCTGATCTACTTCAAACCATTCCAATAAGCAATGGTTAATGGTTAAAAGAAATAAATGTGCTTGACATCAAAGGTCATATAGCATTATGGTAAAGTATTGTGGCAAAAAGGCTGGAAATGAGTTAATGATTAGGACAAGATGTGTTAGATGTCAAAGGTTGTAGAATGCTAGGACATTAGTGAAAAGGGTATAGAGGTAGAGCAAATGGAATACAGTGGGGATTTGTAAAAGGATGTGGTTAAAGGTAAAGGGCAATCAGATCAAATGGAGATTATGTGTCTGAGGAAAGGAGAGTAACACTGTATGGGAAAACTGCAAAAAAAAAAAAAAAAAAAATATCAATGTTCTGATCTACTTCAAACCATTCCAATAAGCAATGGTTAATGGTTAAAAGAAATAAATGTGCTTGACATCAAAGGTCATATAGCATTATGGTAAAGTATTGTGGCAAAAAGGCTGGAAATGAGTTAATGATTAGGACAAGATGTGTTAGATGTCAAAGGTTGTAGAATGCTAGGACATTAGTGAAAAGGGTATAGAGGTAGAGCAAATGGAATACAGTGGGGATTTGTAAAAGGATGTGGTTAAAGGTAAAGGGCAATCAGATCAAATGGAGATTATGTGTCTGAGGAAAGGAGAGTAACACTGTATGGGAAAACTGGAAAAGAAAAAAAAAAAAAAAAAAAAAAATATCAATGTTCTGATCTACTTCAAACCATTCCAATAAGCAATGGTTAATGGTTAAAAGAAATAAATGTGCTTGACATCAAAGGTCATATAGCATTATGGTAAAGTATTGTGGCAAAAAG